TGGTTCTGTGTAGTATGATCCGGTGAGACCCATGTAGCTTAGTGTATACGTTTGTGTGAGAATATTTTGCCCTCTATAACCATTTTGTTAAATGCACATAGATTTGCAAACCTGTCACCATTCTCGTTCCTTTCTCTCAGTCCACATCGTCCCTTGATATCTTCATATTCGGTGTTGTCCATTCCGACTTTCGCATCTAGGTCTTCCATCAGAATGGTCAGATCCTTTTCTGAGCACTTCTCTATGGTCGACTGCAGCATCTCATAAATCTGATCTTTATCGTCGTCGTTCCTATCATTGGTGGGTGCATAGCATTGGATGACACTCCTAGTAATCCCCTCCTTTGTTCCGAAGGATGCGCTGATGATTCTGGATTCATGAGATTCCCATCCGGTAAATGCTTTAAGTACTTCTTTGGACAGCATCTGTGCAACTCCTTGTGTGTGCGGAGCATTTTCTTCTTCATGACCAGAGTACGACAGCACATCCACCGAGGTTAATTTTTTCTGTTCAGCTTGTGTCCAATGGGTTTCACTGATTCCGAAAATCGTCACTTTGTATCTCCTTATTTGATTAGTCCTACCGGTCTCCTACATTGTCCGAGCATTCCATGCAACTATATTAACTGTTATAAGCAAAGATGGATAGTGGCTAGCAGTGGAATCCAGGACGCGCGTTTCGTCCTATTTGGGACTTGTCAGCTGGATGTACCTGCATCTCAGAGTCAATGTTCACTCTGGGACTCGAACCCAGTACCCTCGCTTCAAACGCCATCGTGCTACACACTCAGTTACTGAGTCTTGATAGCCACTTGCTTGTGCAATGGTGTGAAGTTTAAATTCATTTGGTATTATTTGTTTGAATCTTCCCATTGATGTTTAGGACTGCAATTGATCAGTCTCTTATTGGCATATGTGCATACTGTGCGTATTGCCTCGACATAGCCTTGATTCACAAGCATTATAAGCAATTGCTGTCCTGAACATCAATGGGAAGATTCAAACAAATAATACCAAGTGAATTTATATTAACTGTTGCTCTGACTATTAGAAAGGGCATCAGTCTCGTGACTTCCGAAGAATATCGACTTTCACCATGAGGCGTTATAATTCTTCTCTCAACTCCCAGAACACAGTTTAAATGGTTTAATTTGTTTATTCTGTTTAGCTTTGTTTGCAAGGTTGTTTTCTACGGGATAAGGTTGCTAACCCCGTGTCCAACCCTCCTCCTTTACCCGGGACTGCTGGTAACACGAGAACAGCTACAGAGGGAGTTCTAACTTGCAAAAAATAACCCAGAAGTAACCCATGAACTGTTAAAGCATTTTGGAATTGCCAGCACGTCAAAGGTAGTTCAGATGAACACTATATTAAGCATACCCACATAAAATCCTCTTTCCAATGTATAGTTCTTATAAATAATTGAAATTTCATCTACCCCTTCTTTTAAAGATACTGTAATCAACCTAGAGTCTTGTCCCATTTCGGTCTACTCGAAACAGAGCTAATACTATGGTTATTTAGTCGATGAAATTAAGTATATAATATTTACCGATCAGTTAAGCAAAATAAAGTAATACATCGTTAGAATTTAGGCAACATTAGTTAGATTTTTCAGTTTTACAACGGTACCCAGATTATTGTTGTTTTAAATTTAATTCTTACATCAATATAAGTCTTTACTGCTATGTCAATGAGATTAATATTTAAGAATAAGTTTTTTTTGCCAAAATTTCCCTAATTTTAAATTTGTTTATTAGAAACAATGTTTTGTTACATTTTTGTAAAGTTTTAATGTTCAGCGAATAATTCTTTCTTAATCATACAACCAAAAGCTTTTTTAAAAAGAAATTGATCATACCACGTCAAGCAGAAAAGGAGATAAGGATAATTTACATAAGAACTGAACCAAACCCTTGTTTAGACCATTTTGTTTTCTTTGTTCATAAGTAACACCATTTAGTGTGAAACTAATTTAAAAATAAAAGTAATAAGTTTATTTATGTGTAGAAAATAACAGCAAGAACAAATTTAGCGTTTATTTCATCATGCCGTTAAATGATGAAGCCACCATAAGCTGACATAGTAAAATAAATTTTGTCGACAAAAACAAATGTATATGTATCCAATACTAAACTTGTTAACTCATCGTAAAACTAGTTTTGGACAGATATTGTTAGCTATTTCAGAAAACAAGATTGAAAGTTTATTATGAACACGTTAATGAAGTACGATGTTAATAGATAACCTACTATGTTGATCATCTAAAAACAACTAAAATGATTTCCCTTCAGGTTTTCTTTTTATGAAGACAGATCTCGTAGAATTGCACATTTATTGACGCATTGTTCGGTATTGAAATAGAAAAATTATATCACGGTCTTTCGGTATACAAAAAAATTTATCCTAAACTGAAACATGTAAGACCTATTCTCTTGTTTGAAGTGCTTAATTAGACAAAGCATTACCTCTAAGTGTGAATAAAATCATTTGATTATTTAATGATCAACATGAGATTTTAACTAACCAGAATACTAAGCTGAACAAGAAAAAATTCTAAATTTTGCAGACACGATAACTGATTGTTTCACAATAAGTGTATAGACAAAGTGTTGAAATGATTATTTTTAGCTCAAGAGGACGATTTTCGAGGTATTTCGCTCTCTAAGTTGTATGATTTAGTCGCGAGGCTATCATTGTCTTTCGAGATAACATCAACATATTTGATTTTGATGAACCAAACACATCTAACACGAAAGTTTCGAAATACAAACTATTGACCCACCGATATTTATGGAAAAACTAAAAGATAATGGCCATCTAAACTCATGAACGACACACATGTAGTTGTTATGAACAAAAGATGTGATAATTATATAGCTCTTGAACATCTCTCCACGCGAGTATATTAAGTCAAGTAAGCATCAAACAGTGAATAGCAATATGAAATCAGGGATAAACCTACTTTTAAGAGTGAAATCGTCCAACCGAATATGTGTAGTTTACACTACAATCTAGAACATGGCTCTAGAAAAATACATAAACCTGAAATCACACTAAGACCCAGAGTAGATTTTGCAAACACAACTACATATCCTTTATTCGAATACCTTGGTTATATTTTTAGGCATTGTTAGAAAAACATGGGCACAGTATTTAAAAATTCTCATGGTTTTAAACCTACAGTATCTAAAGTAGCTATTACCAAGTGCCTCCTACCAAACAGCCCATGACGTTCTGTTAATATACACACATATTTTCGATAAATACAGTACCTATGTCTTGTCAAGCAGATGTCCGTCAACTTTCATTTTAACCGAAATTTTCTGCGCCTAAATTCAACAATTTACACTCAGAAGGAAACTTTGATAGCAAACAAGCGAAGTATCGACGAGATATTTCATTTTCTCTATCGTTCCCAATCTATTCACCTGACATAAAACCTCTCACTCTCGTCAGTGCTATTGGACCGCATATTTGATTTAGATGTTTAAATAATAAATTTGTTAGCATAAAGTTTTTTTCCTATAAACACTGCAGAACCTTCTCGCGACAAGAAATATGCTCTAGTAATAACGTTACATACTAACTGTTGATATTGAGTTTTCAACTAAGCCAAAAATGCTTCCCCAACGTTTAGCGAAACAAGCTGATTGTCACTACCTCAATGATTTTTATGTGGTGGCCTGTAATGTTAATGACCTTGGATGAAGTGTACACAATGATCATGGGTACATTTGAAACGAAAGGATAAATTTTGTGAATTTTGTGGTTTAATGACTAAAGCACTAGGCTTTAACAACTAGGCAACATGTTCGAACCCAATTCATCTACTTCAATTTTCGTTGTCATAAGTTATCACTAGGACCCATACAAACAACGTGGTTCAAGACCGAATGTATAAACGTGTATGTGCGAAATAAGTTACAATAACGATACAGGGGACTGAGACAAAGCATATGAAATCCTAAATGCATCACACTATATTTTTCTTCCTTTCCACATATATCCCTAATACGCTAATAATGATGTCATACAATGCTTCCTCATGAAAATAAATTATATAATTTACATACGTTAACGTGATCAGATCCGAAATTCGGTATATTCAGTATTAGGGATGGTAGGCTGACTAATCTGAAATGCTTGTTATTTATTTAACTCTTCAAGTACAAGACCTAAGAAAAATACTACAAAACCACCACTGGCTTTGATTCTAAGCTATTATACATCACTTACAACCACTCGACGACAATTTCTTGGACCCTAATAAGTCATGATGCGCTGACGGAAGCCAACCCAACTTGCTTGTTCTACGCCTCCAAACTGTCAATTTACCGTTTGTTTTTTGTAGTCAACCTAAATGTCAGCAGAGATATATGGCAATTGCCAATATAGGAGTGAATAGTGTCTAATTCACTAATGTCAGTTATTTAGTATGATATCAACACACTTAACCACTCATCTGCTCTCCCTAATTACGTACATCATGATGACACTGAACACCAGTATTAAATGAACAGCTGTAACTAGATACAGGCAACAAATGTTCTTAGCTCAGAATCCATCCTTTAAATGTTCTCAACCACAACTTTTGGAGCCGGGCTGAGGCTGCGAAAACACCATAGTTGATTCACATTTGCGTATAAGGTTTTAACTTTCAAAACAGATTGATGTAGTACCCACATGCCTAGACAGGCGAATCTGACCACTCTCAAAAGATACACCACTAAATGTAAACGCATGAACACGCTCCTACCAGTTTCGTAAGACATTTTACACTTTAATAAAGGCTAAGAGGTAATTGACAAAGTGCAAATACTAGTAAGCAGCACTTCAAAAGCCTGAACTGTATCCCAGTCAGGATCACTTAATGACGGAAGTGGATAGCAACTTTAGATAGCGTTTAGTCTATGGATATCAAGTTTAAACAAAGATCAAGAGCTTTGTATTAATATTCTTAAATAAAATTTATTAATAATTAGTTTTGTGTGATTACCTATCGTAACAGAAAATCCACTCATCTCTGCATGATACCCATGAAATAAGTCAAACAGGCGTAGTTACACTATTTGATCAATTTGTCTTTGGCGTCAAAGAATGATGTAATATTTCAAGGAGAGAAAACGAGTTGGAAAATATCCGCCCGAAATACAACCATAACCCTACTTCACGCAAGTCTTATTTCCAAAAGTGCTCTTTTCAAACTTCCACCCCAAAAAGTAAATAAAACTTGTAGGTATTCAATGAATAAGAACCAGGAAACGAATTTGAACTAAACGATTTCAGTCAAGAATAAACCTCGATTTAGTTAAAACAAATTTTATTTTATTTATTAAACTTCAGTCTAAAGTTAACGAACGCATAAGTGTTTCCATACTACACCAATTTTCGCTTTTTCGGTACTGGTTTAGAAACTTGATGTCCATAGTTAGTAGCCAACGAAAACTGAATTGAACCACTAGAGGAACTCTCATTTTTGTACTTTTTTTTCTTGCTTTTATTTGGCTTAAGGTTTGAATTTTTAACAGGATCACTTGGTGATTCGGCTAGAGACTTAATCTCCCCACTTCGTTGCTGATTTAAATGAGAATTACTTTTTCTACTTTTCCGTTTCGGCTTTTCGTTTGACAGAACCTTGGGATCAGTAAATGTTGAAACGTTTGGTGCACGAACTGACTAAGACATGAAAAAATGAGGTACATAAGGTAAGGTGTACGAAACATCGACTATAATAGATAAAACACTTAGATTGAGTTAATTAATACAGTCACAGAGCTAGTTACGAGCACAAAGTGTACAAGTAATACACACTTGTACGAGCTCAAACGGCTTATCCATAAGTTGATAAATAAAACAATACGAAATTCATAAGATAACATACGTGATCTATACTTAACTCAAAAACGCCAAGACTATCACTTCTTTGATTCCCTTTTATCTGAATACTTACAGTTAAATATATTAATCACAAAGACATTTCGATTTGAAGAAATGTCATCACGTTTGTAGTGAACTTTCTACAACTTTGAAAATTATTTAGTATGTTATGAAGCTATTACTATAAACCTACAAAGTAAAATCATTACTTTTGTCAGACTACTGATCGACCTAAAAAAGAAAACTCTGCACTACACGCTACCTATTACCAACTACTAGATATAGCTTAAAAATGTTAGCAATTTCAGTAATTTGAACGTTATAGCAGTGGTGGTAGTATTTTAGTGGTATGTCGAACAACTAGATATATACAAATCAACGTCATCCTCTCACGGGTATGACTTAGAACTTTTCACCATTTGTATGTAATGATGTCTTGATTACTCACCCAGTAGAAAATGAAACTAACCACTAATAGAAGAATTATTCTGAAAAATGTTTGCTTACAAGTGAAGATCTACGACTCCTTAGGTCAAAGTTTAAGTTAATTGGCGTATCATGGAGGACAACTCCATGTTGTGTATTGAATGCTTCAAGAGCGTCTTTTTGATTGGTAAATAAAACACGACAATGCCTTTAAAAAAATGACAAAAAACACAGAGCTATTATGAAACTGCCGTTGTGGGTGTATAAATAATGGTCGATTGACTTCAAATGAAAAGCTGCATCACTAATGGGGTGAATAAATCGCTAATAACAATATAAGAAAGCAAGTGTATGTCTGATTACTGAGTTCCACTTACCTCCATTTTATCCTGCAAGTCACAATGTGACAAAGGTCGGTTATGAAAACAATAAAACAAAAATCCCACACTTCACTTTAAATCGTTTCCAAGTTAATTAAAGATGTATCGGACATTTGAAGCATTTCAAGAAAACGAGTAAGCAATTTCCCTTTGAATAAAAGTAGATTCGATCAATCGTCAGCCTTTAAACCCTAGATCCACAGTAAAACTAGGTCATAATTAGAACTTTTTGTGACCAGTCAGAGAGATCATTTGATTTATCATTACGCGGTTTTGTTTAGTATACTGTGTAGAATTGTAGAAGTAAAACAGTTTCCCCTTTTTAATGAAATTACGGACTATGAGTGAGTATTCTGTTGTTTCCCCATATTGGTGTTTTTATAACTTTAATGTAAAGTGATTTCTTGGAATTATATCAACTTTAAACCTGTAAACCAGAGTTTGAAATTTTCCCAAGTAAGGTTCGAAGTATGTTGCTTGCTTTAGAGCATAAAATATGTACATCTACAAAAACTAGATAACGTTAATTCGGTATAAACAAGAGCTGCTAAATTTATTTCAACAGATACTAATCTTTATCATTAAATGAACACTATAATGCTATGAATAACAATAAATGACTACTGAATATCTTATGCACTACACAATAACACTATCAAATAATGGTTACTAACCACAGAGCACGTTCATGTACAATGAAGTCAAAAGACTCAGCGTTAGGAAATAGGTCCCGTATTTCCTGTTCAGTTGATCGACGATTGATACCTGCTACATACAGTTTATTCAAATTAAAATCACTTAATTCATATGATTGTGGTGGCCTCCAACTATTAGACGGAGATTTACAGCGCTCAGAACACAACTCCACAGCAACAGGAATATCTCCAAAAAATTTGTCACCCAATGACTTAAGACTAGACAATGCTGCTTCACGTGAATTATACTCCACAAGTGCTAATCTACCAAATCAAGAAGTCAATGATTAGATTACAATATTGGCTAACAGAATTTACACAACTTTGTACGACATTGATTCATTAGATTTAGACTCCAGGGCAAAAATCTTTATGGGATAAATTGAATATACAATTTTTGGGGGATTGTTGGTGACTTTGCAAAAAGATTAATCAAAAAACTATTGCAGAAGGACTGAAATACAACCGGTGATCCATCAATACAGCCAATTTACACACTTAAAATCAAAATCATACGTATCAGCGAATGACCAATCACTATAAAAACTGGTCCATTAAAAAGATAAAAAAATATGGTTGAAAGTGACTAATCGATGGGTGAAACATCTGACATCAGAGAGAACTAGCAGAACTACACTAAAACTTTAAGTAAGCTCCAATGAACATATTGAAACGGACAGTAAGAATTTAACATGCGATTGCCGATTTGAAGATGCAATAAAAGGTTAGCAAATCAGTACACCATCACAAGTTTACAGTTTAGATGGCTAAGACCAGTCGATATAAAGTTTGCACCCATTTCGAGGTTTATTCCGAAACAAATCTATTATATATCTAGGTAGATACAGAAATATAATAGCATAAAGGGAAATATATGATTTGGCTATAATAATAAGTAATATTTCAACATAGTAACATCACTACAATTTAAATACGTGTCAACTGAAACCAATGAAATTATTACAGACAAATCAGCTTTCTAAAAGCATGCATGTCAGAACATTACCCAGTAGACTCTTAAAAGGGAGATGCAAAAAATTCAACAACTGAATACACGAACATCTTATCAACTCTGGGCACTTCCTTCCAATGTTGCAGGTGGATTCACTCTTTCTCTCTTTTAGAATCTCGATCCCAAAATCGCCTGTACCATTTCTTTTCTTTTCTTATATCTAATTTTTTCCACTACTACTGATGGTGTTACTACTACTATTCTGGTATTGGTCTTGACAATTTTAACTCACTGTACTATTGTAGTGTGGCAACTTCAACCAATGCACTTACGTATCAGTTTCTACATTGCGCATGATTGACTGAAATCGGCCCACCAGAATTGTATGTCAAAATAATCTGCCAAGTCAGATAAGTGGAATCAAAAGGAGCATCAAGCAAAAACTTGCACACTACAAACCAGCAGTTTAAACCCGAACTCTGAGTGCAAAAGCAGCACGTGAAATATCTTATTCTTATGTGCCCTAAGCACTCTTCAGTGTTTTCCTTGTTTTTAGTAAGTAATCAGTTGATATCATCCTTTTCTATATTTTCAGAATTATTGCTCATTCGTTATTATTCCTATAAAATGGTCAACTTAACTCTCATATTGCTGGTCTATAAACTATTCCTACCTCACGATTTTTCTTTAAGCTTTACATCATTACACAACCTTTTTGTGATGTATGAAATCCCCAGGTGATTTGTGATGGAATCCTTTTCTTATCTTTAGAAAGACTAATATATTTGTTAGATCACTAGAAATACGATTATACAGCTTCAGTAAATATCGTCTAAAAATTTCCTTTGCTGAACTGTCGTTAATTCCTTTCCAATAGCACCGGATTTTTCCAACTACTTAATAAAACTACCACGAAGTATGTGAGAAAATCAAAAGAAACATAAAGACATAGAAATGTAACATGATATGCGATACTCTAAAAAGAAAAATTACCCATGTTTTAAGTGACGAGACGGGTTTAACAATCGACTATTTGCTGAATTACGACACAATGCTTTCAGCTGAGAAAGACTTGTATTTCGTGGTAATTTACGTAAATATAATGTGCGTGAATTCATTTCATCTATCGAAGCAAAACAGGATGAATGAAGTTTTCAACCAAAAAGACAGAAACCAAAAACTACCTATCAAAGATAAGAATTACATAGATCCTAGATATCCTTTCAGACGACTAAAACCAATTATGAATAATCAACCAAAAAGGAGTAAACTAAAGGCACGATAAAGAGCAAGAAGTGTGTGAGATCATGCTTAGAGTAAAGCCATAAATATCTCGTTTAACGACCTACTCGTTCCTTCCTGTATTATATCCTTATATACAACCTATAATTTATATACTACTACCACCACTAAATTAATTACTTCTATGAACCCGGTGTTCATCTTGTTGTGCTAACGAGGTATGGCAACTTGGACCGATGCATAAACGTGCCTGGTCCTACGTTGTAGCTGACTGACTGACTCGTTTAGTTAAAATCACTGTGAAGAGTGGCCGAACTGATAAATTGAGTAGATTACACAAAACAAAACCCCTACTCATTCACTTTTTTATGAATGAGATTCAATCAAATTAGTTCAAGTTACTTTTCAGTTAGTCGAAAGTAATGAGGATCAAAATCACAGACTAACAAGTGGATTTTCGCTTTTATAGTTGGAACACATAATACACGCGAAAAACAAAACTATACAATTATAGACCAATAGTATGAAAAGTAAAAGTAAACGTAACCAGGAAAATAGAAATAATCGTGAACCAAACTACTGTGTACTATGTGCTTTCGAGACCCAATTTCAAGACATATTTTTTATACAACTGTACGTATTATTAATAGAATTTTGTATACAGTCAGAATGCCACAAGTCTTCTTTCGAAACTGTACTCATAGACAATTAACGTAAACTAAATAAGTCAGCAACTACAAACAGACATTAATGTGAATGACAGTCATTTGATGAACAGCCATTGATGAAATCCATATTTTCTAAGTAGAACTCGAAATGTTCAGAAATCACTCCATGCGTCCCAGAGTAGCGAGTTATTAATTTGAGCACTCTGTTTTTAACCAAGGTTCAAACCATGTTCGAAGTGATATTTCCAGAATTAGTGAAAGCAGCTTAAAGTAATAAACTAACCCAATAGAAATAAACAACTTTCACGAACAATAATTTCATCCTATTATCGATCGACATGTAAGCATCTAATTAAAACTAAGAAAATCGTTACCTTGGTCTTTCACCTGTCACCAGTAGAGTCATAAGACCAATGAATACGGAAACTTTACTATATTGAAAGTTTTCCTTGTCAGTGGAATTCTGAATACTGCACCTTAGAGTACACATTTCTAGAAATGATTAATATATTTCATTTTACCCATTGAGCAGAAAATAAAACCCGAATAAGTAATCCCCTACGTTATCTTACAAGTCAACACCATAATAGTGGTGAAACCATAGAGGGTTAGATCAACTTTATTCTCAAAGCGGTCAAAGGTGCAAAAACTAAATATTTGTTCAGAAAATCTAGATATGCTAAAATATATCAACGAAGCCTGTAGTAATACCTCTAAGCCCAATTACTATTCTCGTAGAGAAATGAGCGGGGTGTCTATCATCGTGCATGCTATTTTACTGTTTGAAAAGACTTTCGCACCTTTTTTTACATCTTTGAGCTTCATTATGAGGTGAAATATATTTGAATATATATTAAATAAAAGGAATGAAACATAAAGAAAAAACAATTAAAAAATTAACTATTTCATTAGGAATAGTTTAAAAATAACTTACTTATTCGGCTCCTAATTTCAGTCAAAAGTGTTTCTTTATTTTGTTCTATTGTGGAGATTGTTAAAGGGTTGGCGTTAACCTGCTAGAAAACGAAAACCCTATTTGTATAATGTCTAAACACTTTTTTACCTATGTTAGTTTAATTAACATATAAAAAGCAACCCAAATGACTTAATTATCGGGCGCCTAACTAAGACTCGTGAACTGCAAACACGAGAAAATCAGGCCAGCTTCAGACCTGGTCGTGGCTGAATCGACCACATATTCACTATTCGTCAGGTTTTAGAACACAGTCATGTTTATCAGCGTCCGACAATGATAGTTGTTCTTGACTTAAAAGCATCATTCGACTCTGTAGACAGAGAGGCTATGTGGCCGTATCTGTCATTGAAAAGTGTACCTCAGAAGTACATAGACCTTATGAAGGCTCTTTACTCGAACACTACCAGTCGAGTGAGAGCTTATGACGAACTGTCATCTGATTTTACAACCTCAAGTGGTGTCCGACAAGGTGGAGTGTCTGACAATTTTTTTGAAACAGAACAACATAGAACTTTCCTGAACAGATTTGTTGTGAATTTACAAAAGGCCGTCGCCAATTTGTTAAGACTATAAAATAAGAAGGCCGTACGACAAGTCGTTATCATCTTATGTTCGACTTTTTATCACGTGAATTATCCATCAATCGAAATACGACTTTTCCTATCTTAACACTGTGCCGAATCAATGACGTTCGACCAGTATGAGTAGTCTAGCGTCCTTATTGGTCCCTTGTCTGCCTGACCCTTCCAATTGAGTCCAGAACACCAATTACAGCTTCTGCTATGCGAATCATTTAGTTGAAGCATACTCGGTTTATATACCAGACAGACAGACAGACCGCACCACACCATAAAATAGGAAATAACATCTGTACAAGATCAAGCCGAATGTGGCTGTGAACGTGGGATACAATAATCAATCAAATGAATATAATTTAGGGACAGTAAATAATTCATAATAATTCATAGTTCCGAATGAAGCTTATAATAAGACGAATATAGATATACACAATCTAGTTATTCAATAGTTAAACAGTAAGAAATTATATAGAATAATGGTCCATTAATAAGTCCTGGGAGTTACCCGTACTTATATTTTCACCAGGATATAACAAGATTACCTCATAGTTAAGATTACTTCAAGGTAGTTGAATATCACACTACACAAATTTGAAATAACCACTCAGAAAATTTTTTGTAAGAATTAGTTGACCGTCAATGACAGAAAACCATCGTTGATTGGATTATATACTCCTCTAGTTCTAGAATTAAAAAGTTACTAGATATGCAGCCTTCAACAGGGTATTGTTAAATAGAATGAAGGACTCCGTTGACGCCTCAACAGGTTGGATTTCGTAAGGATCGATCGTGTACAGACCAAATCGCAACTCTATGGATCATTGTGGAACAATCAATTGAATGGAATTCATCACTCTACATCAACTTCATTGACTACGAGAAAGCATTTGATAGCGTGGACAGGACAACATTATGGAGGTTTCTTCGACACTACGGCGTGCCTGAGAAGATAGTCAATATCATACGGAACTCCTATGATGGATTAAACTGCCAAATCATCCATGGAGGACAACACACCGACTCATTCCAGGTAAAGACCCGTGTTAGGCAAGGTTGCTTACTCTCACCCTTTCTCTTTCTCCTGGTGACCGACTGGATCATGAAGACGTCAACATCTAGAGGGAAGCACGGGATACAGTGGACAGCTAGGATGCAGTTGGACGATTTAGACTTCGCAGATGATCTAGCTCTTCTATCACACACGCAACAACAAATGAAGAAGACGATCAATGTAGCAGAAGTCTCAGCAGCACCCAAATGCCGTGGTATGGCCGAGAGTGGGGAGAGTCCGCTCTCCCTCTCCAAATGCTCTCATATGGCCACGCGAATATATAGCCTCTGCCAGGGAAGTCCTGCTCACTGCCTTCTCGTGGCGGGGGTGTTGTTCACAAAAGTGAGAGGACGAAAAGCGAATGTCCGGCGCTTTAACTGGTTTGATGGATGTGGAGGATCCACCTAGGGGAGTTAGAAAACCCTGATTCCAAACCAATGGTGCACATGGGCTCCAGGATCCTGAAGGAACGAATGGCGCATGGACCAACTGTTGGTCACCGGCTACCATGAGACTGCATCTCCTTACGATGCTTCACTGTCTTGTGGACTAGACCTTTAGGTCAAAGGCTCCGGGTGTGGCCCTCTAAGAAAACCACCTGCTTCAGTTTGGGCACCTGGGCAGTATCACATCCCTCACACAAATCTCATTCGATTTGTGTGGCGCATATTTATCTGGTGCTTCCTTGTACCAATATTTATGTGTTTAAATAAATAAAAATAATAATATAAACAAAGGGAAAAGCAAGACTCTCCGATAGAATACAACATGTATCAATCGAATTACACTTGAAGGAGAAGCTTTGGAGGATGTGGAAACCTTTACACATCTGGGCAGCATCATTGATGAACACGGTGGATCACATGCAGATGTGAGGGCGAGGATCGGCAAAGCAAGAGCAGCACATTTACAACTGAAGAACATCTGGAACTGAAAACAATCGTCAACCAACACCAAGATCAGAATTTTCAATACAAATGTCAAGACAGTTTTACTGTATGGGGCGGAGACGTGGAAAACTACAAAAGCCATCATCCAGAAGATACAAGTGTCTATTAACAGTTGTCTACGCAAGATACCTCGGATACGTTGGCCAGACACTATCAGCAAAAAGCTACTATGGGAGAGAACAAACCAGATTTCAGTGGAGGAAGAAATCAGGAAGAAGCGCTGGAAGTGGATAGGACACACATTGAGGAAGTCATCCAACTGCATCACAAGACAAGCCCTCACATGGAATCCTGAAGGCCAAAGGAGAAGAAAGACCAAAGAACACATTTCGCCGAGAAATGGAGACAGACATGAGAAGAATGAACAAAAACTGGACAGAACTAGAAAAGAAGGCTCATTTTATTTATTTATTTATTTAATTACATATATATTGGTACAAAGGGCACCGGATACATATGCGCCACACAAAATAATAAGAATGGGAGAAGGAAGAAGATGTGCACATATAAAAGAAGGAAAAAAAGAAAAGGAAAAGAGTAATGATGGGGGGAACTGAAATGTACAACCAGAAGAACTCCCTCAGTTAAGGAGGTTATGACCATTATTTATGAAGAAAGTAAAAGAAGGTTACAGCAGGCACGCCACTGGCTTCTATTCTGAGCCATATCTGATAACGTCTCTAGCCACTGTGTTGCACCATCTCTCGGACCCCAGAGAGGGAAACGTGAAAGATCAACAGAAGCTAGCCCTTTCAAACCACGACACCATGTCATACACTGACCACCTCCCCCCTTTTTCCAACCAGTCCCAGAGTCGGCAAATAATGCACGACGTGGAATTCTCTGGGACGACATTCGTAGAACATGTCCAAGCCACCGAAGTCGGTGTTTCAAGATGGTGACATCAATTGAATTATCGTCTCGGCGCCCGAACACACGATGCCGAACCTCTGCATTACTAACATGGTGTTGCCACTGAATGTCAGCAATCCTTCGGAGACAACGATGATCAAACACAGAGAGACGTCTAACATCCTCAACTCGGAGAGGCCAGGTTTCACAGGCATAGAGCAAAACTGCTCTCACCGACGCGTTGTAGATCCGACCTTTAACAGCCAGACTAACATCACGAAGGCGCCAGAGATGGCCCAGATTGGCATAAGCCGCTCTGGCTTTCATTATATGTGCATCAATCTCATCACTCACGCCACCACCAGCACTTATGTAGCTACCTAGATACTCGAACTTCTCAACTAATTCAATCTGCTCACCATCTAGGGTGAGTACAGGATGAGAATCCTGCCAGTCTTGTAGGAGTACTTTGCACTTGGAGAGTGCAAAGCACATGCCGTACCTGCGGACACTGATTGCCAACTGATTAAGTGCGGATTGCATGCCTTGGGCATTACCGCACAGTAAGACAATATCATCCGCATACTCAAGGTCGAGAAGTCGTTCTCCAGGCAGCAGATCCACACCGCCATTACTTACATCCATCAGAGCTGTTTCCAGGATGTCGTCGATGGCAAAGTTGAAGAGGAATGGTGAGATTGGGCAACCCTGCCTAACCCCACTGCTCGAATGGAACAAGGGAGAAAGGTGGTTGTATGCCCTCACTCTGCCTGAGGTATTCGTATACAGGGCCTTTAAGATGTTAATGAACTTCTCAGGCACACCCTTCTTCAATAGACAATCCCAGAGAACAGTCCTGTCCAACGAATCGAAGGCCGCCCTGATATCAAGAAACACTACGATTGTTGGCCTGAGATAAGTATGACGGTGTTCTAACATTTGGCGGAGGGTGAAGATGTGATCAATGCATCCTCGACCAGAACGAAAACCAGCCTGCTCCTCGCGAGTCAATCGTTCTCGGGTTTTAAACAACCTACGAAGAATGATAGAAGCCAATAGTTTGGACGCAATCGGAAGTAGACTTATCCCCCGATAGTTACTACAGGAACAACGTGAACCCTTTTCAAAGATAGGGACGACTATCGACTCATTCCATGATGTTGGAACACTTTCTTTCTCCCAAACCTTTGTAAACAACACAGTCAATTCCTTAGTCAGAAAGTCGCCACCATCTTTAAAAAGAGCCGGAGGTAAGTCATCTGGGCCCGGTGATTTGTAGCGCTTCAAGAGTTGGAGTTCCTTGCGGACTTCCGCCTCGTTTGGTGGATCAGTCGTCACCGGCCATGGGGAGCAGGACAAACTGGTTGATGTTGCCGGAGCAGCAGGCCAGTTGAACTACCCTTCCGAAAATTCCGCCCATCGTCCAAGACGTCGAGAGATGTTAGTGATTGGCATCCCATCATCCTCGTAGATTGTTTCACTCACATCAGGCTTCTTGCTGCCAGTGGCTCGGATGAGTTGGAAGAGCTTCCGGCAGTTACCAGATGCAACTGCTGCTTCCATCTCATTAGCACACTCCGACCACCAGGCTTCTCGGTCCTTACGCAAGCTTTGCTCAATTTCCTTACGCAACAGCCTTCGTTTGTGGTCATACTCACGGTCACCCGGAGTAGACCGACGGGCTTCCATCGGTTGTAAGGAGCCAGAAAAAACCCAGTGCTTGTAAGCGGGACGTTTCGCGAAGCCGCAAGCGACTTTACTCGCCATTTTCATGGCGTCGTGGAGATGCAACCAATGCTCATCTATACTTTTCGGTGGGATGGTAGCTAGCCTAGAAGCTAGCTCCGCTCGATAATTACTTGCAACAGGAGTTGCAGCCAGTTTATTAACATCGATCCGTTGATGGCGGTCAATCCTTCGGCCACTGAAAAGTAAGGTGAGATTGGCGCAGACCAAGGTATGATCAGACTCCAGATAGGTACTCCAAAAGGAGCGGCAGTCTTGTACACAACCACGCCAGCGGTAGCTGATCGCGATGTGATCAATCTGAGTCCAGGCTTGAGATGCAGAGGGAGGACGCCAGGTGGCACACCGGCGATGACTGTGCCGGAAGTTAGTGCTGGCCAGAAACAGGTTGTGGTCTGTGCACAGTTGCTGCAAACGGCCCCCGTTATCTGTCCTGCGACCAACAAGTCCTCATCGGCCACCTAAACGACTCTCTTCTGTGCCTAGACGCCCGACCTGTGCATTCAAGTCTCCGGCTAGTACTACAATATTTGTCGAACGCGCTTTCTGGAGAAGAACAGTTAACTGATGGTAAAACATCCTTGATTGCATCCGGGCTGCAATCTGTCGGGGCATAGGCGGAGATGACGAAAAGACACCGTTTCTCGCGCCGATTTCTTATCACTTTGATGGAACTTTCTAATCTAACAGCACATAACCGACTGTTAAAACAGAGTGGGTTGGAGAATGCTGATGGGCGGCCTATGCTCCATTGAGAGTAACAGGCGAAACTTAGTAAGTACGTAAAGAGGATATGCAGCCGATTCAAACTTAGAAATATTCAACAAAATAATGAGCCGAGACTTAAATATTCCAAAACTGTACTCAAAACTTTAAAATTACATTACTTCATTCACTGATATTCCAGCTATACATAAGCCCAAAAAATTACCTTATAAACTTTATTGACTTCACTAGAAGCAACTTCCGCTTTGTAAAAGGATTTCCAACAGGACTGTGTAGACTCAACCGATCCTGAACTCTGACAGGTGCGCTTCTTGCAATCTTTAGTCCGTGATATTAGGTAACCACTAGTAGGAACTTTAGGTGCATTATGTACACTTCTTGAAGTCCCTGGAATGCTTTCAACCATAACTAAAAGCCTTAAAAACATGAAAGTTTAAAATTTGTTAAATAAACCTAGTAAAATGTTTTAAAACGAAGATAAACGATATTTAACCGAACACTATTGACCAGTACCAAGTATATCAGTCAGTCATCATGTAAGTTCAAACACCAAAACCTAACCTCATGATTCACAGTAGCTAATATCAACGCAAATATCCTCAATCACACACACAAGTATCGAATTGCACGATATCTAATTCTAAATATCAAAAAAACCTTATACTGATTTTCTACTAGCTTGGGTTTGGGCAGCCGGGCAGAATCACATCCTTCACACAAATCAATGGCAACCACTACTGGCCTCATCGTTACTGTGTAGTGCATATGTATTTGGTGCCCTCTTGTACCAATGTTTGTGTTCAAATAAATAAATAAATCATAACACTAATCTGGTTTCACTATGTTACTCCAATATGGAGGCCCAAGAAATATGTGAAGAGCAAAAGAAGTTATCTCAAGAGGCCTGTATGACTTCTCAATTATGATCAACGGCCAATCAAATGTGCCGGAAAATATGACACTTGATTAGTTTATTAAACCAAATCAAAAATTTGATCGAATTTGCAGGACGACAAGGCCAAACGGCTAATGGAGCACATTAACATGTACTAGAACAACGATTCAGGATCGTTGAGTTTAATTTCTTGGTAGTAAATTATGCAAGAGAGAACACTAAATTACCAAGTGGTAACTTAAACGCGACCCTGAAGTCATTTTATCATAACGAATAAGATTTTGCGCTTCCTAAATTTTGAAACGAATGTGCACCCATTCTACCGTCAGAGCATTTGGCGTAAACAATTTAATTTAGCTACTTGAAAGAAACAGGATAAGGTCACACTTAAGTAAAAGTATGGGAGAGTTGTACCTACAAAATTCAGGTGTTTATCACCAATTATGAATAATACAGTTGAGTATCATGAACTCTCAACGTCTAACACTTGCTTAATTCACATGTTTAGCAGAATACATAGAGGAGATTTTAAATATCAACGGGTTTCCATTTTATGATTACTTAACATAAAGCGTGGTTTAAAAACTATTCTCTGTATAAATTAGGAACTGGTACCTGAATTTTGTTTATCTACATTACAACCACCTATTATGCAGAGACCAATTCAGACTGATAACAATCAGAAACGCTTACAGTTAGGCAGTAAACCGAAAATGTGAGCCAAAAGCTATTTCTTTAGAAGCCTGAGGAAGATTTCAGCAAATACAATGTCTACCAGATAGAAACAACCCATACGTTATATGAGGTGGGTATGTAGTAGTAGTAGTAGTAGTACCTGGCTGCACATATTCCCGTATAATTGGTACTATATTTGTAGCCCGTCAGTATGTGACCCGTTAGGACTGTCCCTTTTGAGATGACCTATTGTATATTCCAAGGACCTGTGAGGTATATTTATGTAAGTGCTACTTACCCAGTGTTCTTCAACACTACGTCCTCTATTGAATTTTCATTTCCTGGCAACTGTTTTGCCTATTTCAACGATTCTCCCAAATAACTCATGTAAGCTTGTCATTTTCACTGCTCGTATATCTCTACAATACTCATGTCACTAAACAGTCGAAGCTTCAGTAAAATCTGTAAATTTTACAGCCGGTGTTACTGGTGCTTTTACTACCCAGTTCGCAGCATTATCATAATTCGCCTTAGTCTCAATGTGAATCGAGGGGAAAAAAGTCAGATACCGACAGGCTACAACTATAGTACCAATTATACGGGAATATGTGCAGCCAGGTACTACAATATATACGGGTGATTGGAGAGCGTACCGATGCCTACATAGACTTGGTTATGTGCATTGTGTCGTCCACAAACGGCATTCTGTGGACCGAACAACCAGAGTGAATACAAACAATATTGGAGATATGTGGTCGAGGCTGAAAGAGTTTTTGCTACCTTATCATGGCTTCAGAGGTCGACTATTATGGAGTTATATGGATAACTTCTACCGTATGCATAACGATTTTAGAGCCTCTGAACCTCTTTCTAACCTTAAAATGTTCAGAAATCACATAAAAGAAATTTTGGCGAGACTAAACTATACTGCCGACCTTTGAACGAATCTCAAATGACCTTGAGAAATATTGGCCAGTCAGAAGACAGTTGGTGACCTTGAAACACGCGAGAGCTTCTGATTAACTCGGCAGTATACTTTAGTCTCGCCGAAATTTTGTATTATATACTTTGCTTTATACTGCTTCCTGATTAACTAATACTTCTCAAGATTCATTCAAGCGTCGTAATACCTCAGGACTTTGTCTTCACTTCCTCATGAAAATGGACATTAGTGAGAATGTTAATTAACGCATAATATTTTCGCACAGAAAGCTGAATGAGAGAGCGAAAGTGAGCAGACGACTCACCAAGCAAAAAAATGTACTTACTCTTAACAAAGAAAGCAATCGACAGCAATTATGAACCACGCGAAGGTGATAACCGGAAACAGAAGCTGACAATTAACTTTCCAAATCCGTTACAAATTCTAGCACGTCATATATTAGCGTTCGCTTGGGAGCAGGAGTGATCTGAAACAGCACAACATTAGGGACCGGAAAATGTCTCTGAAGTAAGAACGCGACGTAATGGCACAACATTTATATTTTTAAAATGGAAAGGCGCGGTTCGAGTACAAAAAGGGAAACTCATTACAAAATACTTTTATTCGTCGTTCTGAAGGTTCAGCTAACGTAGGTCTTGTTTCCCTTCTTTAAGTACATTAACTCTTGGCTTCCATGCAAAAAGAAAAACAAACTCGCGTTAGTAACGCCGCATGTAATCATTTTTATTACCGTTACAGAATGAAGCTTCAACCAATCCGCCTTTTGCCAACGACCTTGAAGCGCAGATCCTTAAGAAGAACAACACAATCATCTTAAACCATTTTTCAGCGCGACAAGCTATTACATAAGGACTGACATCCTTCAGATCACGGACTGATGAACGGTTTTAAGTGTTCAAATGTTGTATCAGATTGAGGTAGACAAAGGGCAGGCCAATCTGTCAAGATAGAAATATCCCCGTAGATGTGGATTTCATAGATCTAAGTAAAGCCTTTGACAAACTACTTATTCGGGTTCTAAAGAAGAACTGGAAAGTTCTGGAATCCACTGTGAAACCATAGACTAGACGAGTGACATTCTCAATGATAGGAGACAGAGGATAAGAGCAAATGAAGCTCACTTAGCGTGAGAGCCTGTAAAACGCGGAGTTCCCCAAACTAAATTCCTAGTTGCCCTTCTATTTTTACTTTTTTTAATGAATATCCAACTGTAGCAAAGTCATTCGTTCTACTCCTTGCCGATGACAAAGATTTCGATCCCCATACACAGTATGTCAGATAGAATAGTAGTACAGAACGATCTCAATCCACTGGCTGCATGCAAGGACAAGTGGTCATTACAAGTAAATTTTAACGAGAGTTTGACGATGCAATTAAATAACTATGGGTTTAGAATTAGACAATCAGCGCGCAGCAACACCATCATACATGAAACATGCATGCATGAAACATCCAATCTATATCCCACTAACACCTCCCCCTTGAGCAGATTCGTAGGATCTGGTGCTAGGGTCCAACCGCAACCGAGTGACTGGCCTGCGCTTTCGATCTGTCCATCGTCTAGGCAATAAGGAAGTTGTGTCACTCTTTGCTTGCACAGAAACTGACTTGTCTGTTCCGGGCGTTTTGATCTCAAAGGTGTCTAGCAGAACATCAAGAGGTTATAATAATATATTTCTGCAATAGCAAGTACACGCCATTTTTGCAGGCATGATCTACAATTTACAACATATACTGGTTCACAGTATGCATCTCAAGCAAGGTTGTTTAGTAATTATAATCTACAAAACTTGATAGCAGTTCATTCGTTCAGATATAATGTGTTTTCATAAGAATAGTTTCCAAAGGGGCATCGCGTCCACGTTACATACCAGATCCAATCTCGACAAAAAGTGTATTAGGGTTTCGGTCGAGTTAAGTATTTATTTAAGTTTATAGTTGTTATAAAGTAGGTTTGTGGAGCGCCTGGTTCGAACTATGACCTTGGGAAAGCGCGTTCGTCGAGCTTGTTCCAGATGTCAGAAGTTACATAGCTTCGCCCTCAGAGCAACATTACTAAATTCGCGCTGAGGTTGTTTTGTTCTATGCTAACCGGTTGATGGGTGGCAGGTTCTGTGGTTGTACGACCACTGGCAGTAGGCAGTCGATTGTGCGTTTTTTTCTGACGTTTTAGGGTATTTATAAGCGTCGTTTAGCGATCGAGTATTGATAGGTCCAGTGACTTGCCTGTCTACTTCAATTGAAAAGAATTAGTGAGGGGAAAGTATCTAATACAACTACAAGGTAAGGAAATAAGGCGATTCAGTCTATATATGTAGAGAGCCTATGATGTCTGTGTGGGACGTGGATGTGTTCGTTTGCACCAGATCTATGCAGGTGAGGGCTTGATCAATGAGTCTTGCAAACGTATGTAATTTGTCTGCCATGCGTATTTCAGAAGGCAGACTGTTCCATATCAATGTGTACTTGATAAGGGAGAAGTTTTCACGTGTTTTTGATCTGTTTTTCAATTTTGACAGTGGATACTTTGTCTCGAAGGTTGTATCCATGTGAGTCTTGGTAGAGAGCTATATTACATGTGGAATAAGTAAGGTTTTTAAGGAGTTTGAAATAAAGAATTAAGTTAGACCTAAGCCTTCTTTTCCAGAGGGATACTAGTCCTAAGATATGGCATCTGGATTTGTAGTCAGTGAGTTGGTCGTTCTTAAGTATTTTGCGAGTGAAGTCTCGCTGTATTCCTTCCACTTTAAGTATATCAGATAGGCGTAGGTTGGAAAATAAGAACGAGCAGTATTCGACGATGGGTCTTAAGCAGGCTTTATACAGGATGATTTTAGTTTCGTTTTGAAAGAAATTACGAAGGATGAAGCCAAGCAATCTCCGCATTTGAGATGCTTTAGTTGAGATATGTTCAGAGAAGTTAAGACTGTCAGAGTAATGTACCCAAAGGTCAGTTACTGATGTCAGTCTGGGCAGTGGGTTTTTGTTAAGTGCTAGTTTTAGTTTAAGTGACGTGTTTCCAATACATAGCTAACCACATTTCTCTGTGTTGAGCTCTAGCCCCCAGCGTTTGCACCAGCCGTCTACTTTGTTGAGTTCATGTTGGATCGTTTGCATAGTACTACGTACATCACCAATGTCAGTTTTATAGATGACTTTTAAGTCATCAGCGTAGAGGCAGGTCTTATCTGTAGTAAAGCACTGGCATATATTGTTGATATAAATTATAAAGAGCAATGGACCCAAGACACTACCTTGCACAACACCACTGGTTATTGGTCGAGGTGTAGATGTTGTAGAGTTAAGCTTGGTTATTTGGTATCTGTTTGTGAGGAAAGACTTAATCCATTGCAATAGGGGGTTTGTAATTCCAACTGACTGGAGTCTGTTGATTAGAAGATTATGGGGTACTTTATCAAAGGCTTTCTTTATATCGAAATAAAGTATAATCACTAGCTTTTTCTGGTCACGTATGCGAGTAACCTCGTTAAAGAAGTCTATCAAACATGTACTACATGATCTTGTTCTAATGAAACCATGTTGTGTTGGGTCTGTTAGTTCTTCCTTAAGTAGGTGATCTGATAGTTGACTTTGTATCACTTTTTCCATTATGCGCGAAATAACTGGGGTGTTGGCCTAGTAAAATGGTGTGCTGTAAACCCTGTGGTTTGTCGCTTTTGCTATGAGAAAAGAAAAAAGTGAGAGTATTGGCTCTACGTTCTTGTTTGTTTAGTTTAATACCAGCATAGTTAACGGGAGAAAGGTGGTCGTAGGTTAGTTTGGCGAAAGAAATATGTTCAGGAGTGTTGGGTAGAATCGGATGAGTTAAATGAATAGGCAGTGTATTCGGGGGGTGATCATGTTCCGTCAAGGAGCTTTTAAGACTAGAGACAGTTATCGACGGTGAGAAAGATGTGTCACTCCCCATCAGGTCGGAGTATATAGAAGGTGGTCTCAGAATAGTGGGACTGTCGCCCTCAACATTTGGAGACCCCATAGCAATACTGTTGAGGGGGAGAGAGATAAAAAAAGGATGAGGTGGTGTGTGTGCCAAATTAGGGGAGATCAGAGAGTTATAAAGGGTGGTTTGGTTCTGGTAGTATTTAGAATCGATAGGTGGGTCCCCAAGCAGGCCAACATTATGGTTGCCTTGTGTGCAGTGGGGTGTTCTACTCCTATTATGGGTAGTTAGGGGAGTTGTATGTTTCAAATAATTATTGCATGATTGTCTGACACTGTTGCCAGGGGTAGTGTTCTGTGCTGATTCCTGTAACTTGCATATTTCAAGCTATGTGGCTTATTGGCATCATGTGTAAGTGTGGTTTTTGTCGGGCGTAACCTCATGTTAGGATAAGGGGGTACTGTCGGTCCACTATGCTTGTTGTAGTGCATTCGACTACTATGAGTAGGTGCATGTTGTGTATTGACAGTGCTGGAGTACTTATGAGTGTTTAGAGAGAATTTAGTATTATTTCGCATTACAGTGTTTGGGCGGCTATAGCTATTAAAGCGATTGATGTGAGGGTTGGGTTTTGGCTTTTTATCGGAGCCACAAGAACAGTGCTTTGAAACTGTAGACGCATAGGTGGGTGGGCATTTTGATGTAGTTGAGTGTTTGGGCTTAGGATGAGTGGTTACAGCTGCCTGGTGTTTAGTCTTGTTCTTAGGACTAGTAGCAGTATGCGACCTGCCTCTGTTTTTGGGAGGGGTGTGGTGTTTTAGGGATAGCGCTATGGCCAACGTTGTAACTTCCGCTACCACGTAGGCTGGGTTGATTGTTTTGCACTTCACTGGAGTTTCGACGCTGGATAGCATTCTTGTCATGTGTGGTCCTAACTTTCTTAAAGGTTGGAATACGCCTCAGTAAAGACTGACTTTTAAGGAGGTGATTGGCTTCTATGATACTACCAAACTGAAATAGAATGGGACAAGAGGCTTTAGTCTGTATTTTACGTAATCTTGCTACACACCAAGATTGCGACAGTCCACATTCTTGTAGTGGAGTATTCTTTAGCAAGCTTTAGATTCGTACTATTGTGGGGAGTAGTGTAACGTCGTGTACTATTTTACACCTACATAGCTTATTCTAGTTTCTGGACAAGCCAATTCACCTATAACGTTATGAGTCATTTTGATTTTGTTAATTATTCCCTTATTGACCTTGACTATTTTTTTATATGAGCGTATGTGTATGCACTCTTCTTATCCTAACTATCACATGTCTGTCATTCATTTTAGTCTGACTATAAATGTTGATTAATGCTTGCTTATAACGAGTTGGCTTAGATATTCCGGAGGGATACAAGTTCGAAACTTCTAAAAGCCCCCAACTTCGCATGTATCTATTCTCGACCATCAGTTGTATGTTGCAACGCTACCTCCATAAAGTGCGCCAATTGTGATATTGATATGTTTCTTACGAAATCCATTTACATTCATATCTTATGAAATATCAACCCAACTGAGTAATTTTCAACAGTGAAAATTGTAACTTCTTTAACAATTTGATCTTGCCTGTAAACCGGCATGCCTCATGTAACAATCTGTTATTTGAGAATAAATTATTATTATTTCTTGGTTTCCAGTCAAAGCTCCGAGACGTTATGAATCATTTATTGATTGTCTAGAACTAGGACAGTGGACTCAATATGTTAGTAGCCATATCAGACATCAAAATATCTTGGACTTAGTCTTTACCAGTGGCCTCACCCCCAATACTGTGTATATTGGAAAAAAGTTTCCAGGTAGTGATCATAACATTGTCATATGTAGCCTTAATATAAAAAACACAAACGGTAGACGTAAAAATGTAACCCTTCGTAGAAACTATCGCAAGGTAGATTGGAATAATTTTCACAATTACCTAAGAAGCACTGACTGGGGAACATTCTTTACTGCAA